AGCCAAAGAAAAACGACTGCCGGTTCATGCAGCCTTAATCGATCTTAGCAGGACGTTTGATAAATTCGATCATGTGCTTCTCCTGACTAAACTCAGCAATACGCCGGTACCCAGAACTGTAATCAAATGGATCAAGGGGTATCTATTAGGTAGACAATGCCGGCTCAGAGTCAGCGAAGGGTGTTCCTCTGCGTTTGAGGCTCGTAGTGGAGTACCACAAGGGTCGGTGCTGGGTCCCAGACTTTTTTCAATATACGTTGCGGATATCCCATCAAGACTTGCGTCCCCATGCCTTCTGTTCTCGAACGACCTCAAGGTATGGCGTGTCAAACGCAACGCCAAAGACACAATGACGTTCCAAAATGATCTCAATGTGATCCACGAGTGGTCATTAGAGGTCAAGATACCGGTAAACGTGACAAAATCGAATTTGTTAATAGTTGGTAGAGACCGGGACCACCCGCCCTATATAATGGGAAACATGACACTGGCCGCTGTTAGGAGTACTAGAGACTGGGGCGTTATCATTCAGGACGACCTCAAGACCCGAGAGCAATCAACATTGGCGAGACGCAAGGGGCTAGCGCTATTTTGGATGTTCAAAAGAGCATTCCCGTCCTGGTCCATGCAGATATTCCATAAGCTCATGGTCACGTTCATTCGCCCGATCATGAAGTATGGATCGTCCGCTTGGTTTCCGTGTACGAAGAGCGAGATGACTTACATCGAATATGTTCAACGACTGAGGTCAAGAATGGTGCCCGAAGTGAGAAGGCTGACCTATCCGGAACGCTGTAAAGCACTGGACCTGTTTACCCTCGAATTTCGACGCTCCAGAGGCGACAAAATAATGATGTACAAAGTGATCGTTTGCGGTGCCATACCGGAGGTCGCAAAGTACTTCAAACTTGACATGCCTACGCGAGGACACTGCTTCAAACTGGTGGTACAACGGACAGATGGCCTCCTGCTGTCTACCGACTCTCAAGGCGCGCTGTGAATGCATGGAACAATCTCTCTCTCGACGTTGTTGCTGCCGACACAGTTGCCACATTCAAGAAGAAATACGATGCCCTATTTGAAATATGATCTGTGCCGTTCACGGGAGTGCCCTTGTTTTGGCGGGGGATTGGTCTAGCCTGAAAACTCCCACATTTCCGGTGACTGCAAAGAAAGGGTGCCCACGGATCCGTTCCCTACCCTCTACTGATGAAACATGAAACATGAGCTCCTGACCATTTCCGAACAATCTTTGCCCAACTCCGATAGCTTGATACTTTTCCAGCGCCCTGCACGAATTGCAATCAACCCTTTTTACCACTGTTAAGTGGAGGAGCTTATTTCGGGTGTTGGTGTATGCGAATAATACTTTTTCACGAATTTTTGATTTTTCAGATTAGATAATTATTATTTTTGCTTTACAATCCTGGATCATGTCGTCAGACGAGAGTGACGTAGGTTCTACTTTGTGAGAAAATTATCACTGTCGCCTTCCAGTGCCCCCTTTGCTTGGAGCCCATGGACTCGGACGACGCTTCCTTTTACCCCTGCCCTTGTCTTTATCAGGTCTGGTTGACGTAAAATACTATTAACCCCTTCAGGTCTGTCGTTTTTGTTGGGCTAAAATACTGAATGAGGAAAATGGCTTGTGTCCCGCATGCAGACAGGTTTGCTTGGAGTTTTCGATACCCATTAGCTTTTAGCCCTACGATTCCGAAGCTCCAGCTGTCTTCGTCCCTCAGAATAATGTCACGTAAGTCATTAACGCCTTTCGAAGGATTCCTCCCTAGGGAGCACAAGCGTAAACCCTCCAAACGAAAAAAAGAAGCACAGGCCAGAACGCATATATCCAAAGAAACCTTAAAAATATTACCTGAACTTAGGTAAGTCTCGTTTTTCTCATGACTTGTCCTTAGGGTTATTCAGACTAATCTCGTTTTCGTCGTCGGTTTACCTCAATGGATCTCAAAGGATAAAGAAATTCTGAAGAACGTTGAATACTTCGGACAATTTGGGAAAGTATTTAAAGTGGAAGTCAATCCCAATCCGAATTTCACAAATCCTCAGGTATTCTGGTTCTAAAACGTGAAATAAGCTATCAGAGACGCTCTCACTCACTTACGACAAGCATTTAGAAGGACTTCTTCTTTAGACATTAATTAACCCTTTTATGTCTTGATCCTGCGTTCACTCTTCTGAGAGCCTGATTTTCTACCCGCATGCTGGTTTGGAAAGTAAAAGTCATGTTTGCTTTACGTGTAGAATTGACTTTTAAAACTGTTTACTAGGTTATTATTCTCCCAAGCATTGCAAATTCTATTCATTTTACTTTATTGATAATCGTATTTGATGGATCTGTCTGCCGTCCAAATTAAAATACCTTCAGGGCTTACCTCATCCCATACTGTACTTAAGAAACAAGAGCAGTTTCTGTTTGATCTCACACCATATAACATCGTTTGCCTCTTAGCTCTGCGCCTAAACCAGAACCGTCCTTTCTTGTATAATGTCTTATTGTCTTTTGGGAAGAAAGCTATTTGTTTTCCTCTAATCTCCACTATGGCGTCATGTATTGCAAAAAAATCTGTATTTCATTCGATACGCGGCTTTCTTTCTCGTCATTTGCGGGTTGCTAGATTATCATAGTACAGTCACCCATGTGTACTTTGCTTTACACGGCTGTGATCATGTCTGATATAGCTGGCCTTAATGATGTCACGGGCAGTACCTTTACGCGTGCTGATTAGCGGCAACGGATCTGAAAAGCTCCACCAATTCTTTTCTCCAGTGACGGAGGCCGAAAACCGAAGGCCCCAGAACTGCTTCCATGTCTTGGTCAACGGTGTTGAACCAAGTCTTGGGTTGCCCTTCCCTTCGACGCCTCCAGGAGGGCTGCGGCGCCGAATCGGGGGTAGAATAAAAAAGCTCATGAGGTGGACAAAGAAGAAGGTGTCCAAGCTATCTCAGTCATCTTCCTTGGATCACCTGTGATATCCTCGCTATTATACCGCAACAAATGCGGACAGTCTCATTTGAGACAAGGTCAGTATACTTCACTCGAAGGATAGTCCTCAGGCAGCGGCGGTAAAATAACACCAGTCCTCGCTCATCTTCCACGTACAAAGCCCAGCATTCACACCCATAGAGGAGGATTAATCGGACGGATGCACAG